AAATACTATAAATGAGAACTTGATTATAGATCAATTATTGATAAGAGAATAATGAATAATAGCAGAATTATATATTGTCATTATGTTGATATGCTTGTAGAAGTTGAGTTTCTTTTATATTTATTTATTTATACATATAGAAAAATTGAGGCAAAACTTTAGTTAAGATGATATCATTTGTATGAGGAGGAAAAAATGTATAAGTCATTTGTGAAAACTAGTATGTCGTAGTGCTTTGAAATAAACTTTTAACCAGAATGTTTAATTAGTAATGGTTTATTTAGATGTTCAATGACTTGCATAAATTTAATTTATGTGCCACACATGTATATGTTTGTTAAACTTTGAATGCTGAAGTGTTTTAAAAAGTTTTTTATTAGTAATAGAACAGATCCTAGAGATGAGGTTGAGGGTCATTATTTTACACATAATGTAGAAGTTCAGAAAAGGAATGTTCCTCAAGCAGGTTTAGCTGTCAGAATTCCCCAGAGCTCATCAGTCTTTGTAATATAATGACATTGCCCTTTGCAACAGCTTACTTGCTGCTTATTGATTGGAATGGGTGATTGGCATACTACTGAAAATCCTAGATAAATTGAAATGCAGAAATTTTTCATTTGGCCCATATAATGAATTCGGGTAAATAGATGGCTCTTACTGCCATTACTTTATTGAGGTAAAATACTACCTAAATTATATATTAATTAAAATATATTTGCTATCAACATTTAATAAGGCAAACATTGATGAAATCTGCAAACTAAATTTAAAAATTCTCTTTTATGATAGAAACTTCATTTTGGCCTCATAACTGTTTAACTTTTATTTTGGCTCTTTATCTGTCTTCATATTCAGATAATACACACATATTCTATATAAATCTACACACTAATAATGTATGTTACAGAATAACTTTATGTATATTGTTTCCTTAAATCAAAAAGTTCTAATAATCAAAAAATTCATAAGAATGACTATATGTTGTGAAATCTAGTGTATTATCAATTAATACTGTTATATACAGTTTATTTTCCAGTTGAAATAACATTTTTGAGTATATTACCTTTTATAGAAATTATTTACATCCATTTCCACAATGACAAGAATCAATAGGTAAATTCATCATTCCATTCTCTATTTTTATTGTAAGTTTATGAGAATATATTTCCTTTTAGACCCACATCAATAGAAAAAATCATATAATTTTATCATTAGCAATCAGAGGATGAGTACATTTTCATTTCAATTACATTTTATGTCCAAATAAGTTTCCAATAATTTAAACATTTTGCTTGGTAGTCTTAAAATTATCCATAATTTAAAAGCAAGGAAGATCATAAAATAACTAAAGTGTGCTCTTTGAGCTGAAAACAAGCTTTGTTTAGATGAATGCACATTGTTGTCTTTGACTTTTTATCTCACATTTTTATGCTGCACTAAACCAAAGATCCTAATCAGTGTCTTCATTTCAGAGCTGTACTAGCTTATGAAAACACACGTGTATTCAAACTACCTACTATAATAGAAATGTCAAAATGCACTGAAACAGAATTTATATTTTGAGAATTCATCCTTAATTTAAAACAATAAAATCTGAGACAAAATTAAAATTTGCAACAAAAATAATCACTTAGAATATTTAATACTGAAATTAAATATTTGAAAAATTAAAAACTAAAATTTACAACAAAAATAATCACTTAGAATATTTAATACTGAATGAAATACAATTTCTTCCTGTAATCACTTATAGTATTTAACATTAAAATGTAATTATCTCCTGCTAGTGGAAGTTGACACACTTTTTGAGAAGATAATCATCAAGCAAATTCTCTTGATAGAAAATAGATAGCTTTTTATTAGATTTACTAATATGATGTCTTTAATTAATTGGCATAATGCAAATTAATTTTTACAATTGTGCCAGTATGTTAGCTGACATATAATACTTTATCTTCATTTAATTATAAGCTTAAAAACTGAAAGTCTGTCTTTTGTAAGTGGCATATATATCCAATGGGCTGCAGAGCTGTTTTGAAACACTGTTACCATTCTCCTGAATCTATCTGAAACAATTTACATCATCATGTTTTTCAAGTGCTTAATCTATAAGTATTTCTATAGATGTAAAAGAATAGAATCATTAGGTCTAATATATAGTACAGAAATATGCACTTTATAACAAATATTCAACTGATTCTGATGCAAGTGGTCTTCAGGTGTTTGAAGCAATACATAAGGCAAAAATTATTCTATATATGTTGATGACTTTACATTTCTGCCGAAGATATGAATTTTTTCATTTCAGGTAAAATTTACTAAGAAATGGGAAATATGCCTAAGTGGTCCATAAATATTAGCTCCTATTAGAACAAAACAGTGGAATTCTTCAACTATTTAGTAAACTTGATGTGAAGTTTTCTGCTACATTACCAAGCACAAGTCACATTCTGATGGTGGACCCAGAACTATCTAAAAACATACTGCTCCCTAGCATCAAGAATGAGAATTTATAAGATTAGAATCATAAAAATGTGCAATATATTGGTAGGGAAATCTGGATAGGCGAGGATAGAGAAGGTCAAGTAGTTTACAGAAAGCCAGCACACTCTTCTGTGGGCCCTCAGATTTGAGCCTCAGGCTGTCAATTTTAATGTTTTGTTCACCCTCAGGCAAATTGAGAACCACTGCAACTGTGAAAATAGATCTTTACTTTTGTTACTGGTTTAAATTCTGACATAAGTTTTGAAGAAATAACATCTGTTAAAATATTTTTTCTGGAAAAGCAATGTACCTATCTTGGAAAACATGTGAAAATATATAAATGTTAAAATAGGGAAATAAAATATCTGCATTCCATTGAGTCAGACAGCATGTCAATTTCTTTATGCATATATTTAGAATACATGTATAAACACATGTATGTTTGCATTTATGCATCGTTAAAATTAAAGAATTCAGAGAAAATATAACATATACAGTGTGCAAAAATCATAATTGTACATCTTAATGAATTAACATAGTGGACACACCTATGTAACCACTAGTCCTTACAATAAACAGAAATTAACCAGCCCTGCAAAAGCCCAGCCTTATGATTATCATAATTCCTGGTCTATTTTCTACCCCAAAGTGACCCTGTCCTGACATATCGCAATATAAGAGTACACCCGTTTTTAAAGTTTATATAAATGGAATATTATAGTCCATACTATTTTGTGTCTGAGTTCTTTGGCTCAACCTTATGTTCATGAAATTCATTTGTGTGATTTACTTGTGGCAGTAGTTAATTCCTTATTAGTACTGTAGACCCCACTGCATGCACAAACCACTATATAAGCATCTTCTATTAATGGACACTTGGGTTGTTTCTAGATTTTGGCTACATAATGCTCTTTAAACAATCATTATACATATCTTAAATATAATTTTAATTGAACTTTAAATATTATAAATCATACAAGAATGGCTATGTGAATATTCAAAGGAGAAGCCCACTATTATACAGATAAAGAAATGTCATCACCAGTACCCAACACTTCCCTGTTATGCACAGTAATTTTTAAATGACTACGGATTATTTTGTACGAAAAAATACAGAGACTTGGAATAAAGTTATATTGCTTCAAGGAGGATTTGCTTTGGTGTCTGTTAAAATAAGGGCATTACACCTTAATCTAATCAGAGCTTCAACGTTGGGTTTAAATTTGAGTAAAGCCGGATTGTTTTGCCAGGCACCATCACTCACATGGTATAGAACTTTGGTGATCTCAAAAATACCGAAGTTTCTCTAGTGTAAGAAACTGAAAGTGTAAATAAGTACTAAAAGGTATAATAGATAATGTGAAATAGGAAGAAAAGGGCAAAGGGGAAGCAGAAGGGGAAAAAGGAAAAGGAAATAAGAGAATAGAATTAATATGAGACATTGAAAAATGGAAACAAAGTCTTTCTAAATAGGGAGGGATGGAGAGGTTGAAGGGAGGGCAAGGGAATGGGGAAAAAATAACTAAGAGAGATTTTGCAAAGGTGTAAATTTCCAGTGATAAATGTCATTATATTGTATACCTAAAATGTAACAATAAAATTAATTTTAAAAAAAGAAATCCTGAGATATCTGCAAGGATCTTTCTTTTTGGGCATCTAGGAAATCCAAATTTTGACCCCCTACACGTATGACTTCTACAAAACTCTTAAGAATTACCCACCCTTAACGTTATTTATGCTCAGCCTTTCTGTGTCACTCCAAAACACCTATTTATTAGAAGCATTTGTGCCTGTTTTATTTCTAAAGAAAATTTGGACAAATCTCATGGAAGTTAACTTAATGTTCCTTGATTATATCCAAGTCATTGATCTTCATGATATTTTCTCATTGCAGCAGAACAAGTGTTTTTAACTTATAATTAGTATCACATATTTGTAGTAGGTTTACCTAGTTGCAATACCCATAGCTATATGTTCATAAAATACTTTCATAAGTGAAAGGTATTAACATTCTTCATTTGTATGTAATCCTTGAAAATTACTAAGGTAATACTTAACTGATAGTAGTCACTTACTTTAAAATACTTATTTATATTCTATGGTATTTTACAAAATATTCATTACATTTTTAAACAGTGAAAAATATAAGTGATAAAAACTGTAATAATTGTATATTTCAGTTACAAAGTGGTCTATATGTATATAAACAAAAACTTGACAGCCATAAAATATGAACAAGATAAAGGTAAAATCATGTTCTAAGAAGTAAGTCTCCAAGAGCTACTTGACATTTTCAGGGAACTGCTTACCCTTTAGTATCATCATTTACTTTTTCTGTTTGTTTTTGAGGTATGAAAATTGCATGCTTCTTTGTCTTCTCCACTTTTTCTCTTTTGGAATAAAGGGCTAGGGATACAAATGCAACACTTTTCATATAGTGAAATTCCAATATGACCTAAACAAAATTCAAAACAAAAATAGCTCCTCTCAAATTTAATCTTTTTTTTTTCTTTAAGACCTCAACTGCCACAGTAAATGTGGTGGTAACAGATGTCAATGACAATGCACCAGTGTTTGATCCCTATCTGCCTAGAAATTTATCTGTGGTAGAGGAAGAAGCTAATGCCTTTGTGGGTCAAGTAAGGGTAAGTAGAATATATATATATATATATTTTTTTTTAAAGTACACATTTTCTTATATTTTAATTTTGAAAAGAAATGAAGTAAATTTAATCCATTAAATGCACTTCAAGATATTTTTAGAAATTACATTCTAGGCAGATTTAATTTATTAAGCATGTTGATTACATTTTATTATTCAATGTAAATTCAACGTGAGGTTATTCTTTTTTTCATTAAATTTATTGATTCATTTTAGGTATAGAATATAATGACATTCATCATTGGAAATTTGTACCTTGACACGACGTATCTTGATTCTTATTTTTTTCCCCATTCCTCTGCCCTCCTTTCAACCCCTCCACCTCTCCCTAGTTACAAAGACTTTGTTTCTGTTTTTTCCTCACATTCTTATTTTACATACTTTTACTTATTTGGAAATAAATTTTTAGAGAACTATGTAATTTAGTAGACCATCATGTCTAGATGCAGAGATTCATACCTCAAAATACGTAAATTTAGATATGAACTTATTTGACTCTTCAAACATATCATTAGTTTCTATGTGTCCTATATTTCATACATCTTGTTTAGCATTCTCAGCCTTCATTTGTAAACATATCCTTCTGGATCCCATATTATAAAGTTTCTGTTGTTCCTTTAATGAATAATCTTTTTCATTAAAATACAGTCATTACTTCTTCAGCTGGGCCATACTTGGTCTTGAACATAGCTAATTTTCTTAAAAGCAAAGGAAGGAAAAAAATTGAGAAAGACATGAATATTTTGAAGCACTTACCTTAGAAGAGGCATCCTCATGGTCTTAAGTAATAATAATCAACTTTAGATTACTGCCATGATATACCTGAGGCAACTAACTTTATAAAAGGGAAAAGTTTATTTAGCTCACCATTTTGGAGGTTTAAGTCACAGTTCAGGCAGTATCATTTGTGTAGGCTTCTGGTGAAGGGAATACATCACATAGTAGTATAAATCATTCATATTTCAACCAGGAACAGACCGAGAGAGATGAGGTCCAACATTCCTTTTTAAGAGCATATTATCAATGACCTAAGAATATCCCAATGGATACAATTTCTTAAAACTTCCATCACCTCCTAATAATGCTAACAAATCATTAAGCACTGGAACCTTTAGGGGACATTTATTTAAGCCAGAGCAGAGAGTAAAGACATAATAATCCTCCTGTATAAAGGAGGCATGAGCCACATAGATATCCCAATTCTAGGTATGAGGATCTTGGTTTTCTCCTGATAAATGTCTTGACTTTTTCATAGAGGTTTAATGGTGCTTCGAAGTGAGGCTTTCCTATAATTATAATATTCTTATAATCTAACTCAGGATCTTGTTTTTAATCCATTCTTTTCAGACTGCAGAAGTTGAAGTTTTCTTTAAATATCGTCAGAGATCTGGAGGCTTTCAAATCATGTCTTGAGACTTTCTTTGGCTAGTTTGAGACTGTCCTTTTTTCCTTTCACAGAACTGACAGCTTTACCTCAACAATCAACTCAACAGTCACTTGTCTTTATCATTCTTACTATGCCTATTTTAAATCTTAGAGATATTTCCTTAAAAAAAAATCCTCTTTGTTTCTATGCCACCCCAATTCACTTTAGGAAAGAATGAGTCATCATATTACAAGATGCTAGGGTTTCTTGTTGCTTACTGACCAACAAGCAGTTAAACTCCAGAGGATTCTCCAAGGTAAAAAAGAGGAAACAAAACATTCAGGTATAGTTTTTTGAGACCTTAAGGTAGCACCAATAGAGAGGTAATGAAGTTATTAAGAGGGAGGAGGAGCAAAAGAAGGGAAGAAAGAGAAAAAGAAGATGACAAAGGAGAAGAAAGAATGCACCCAACAAAGGGATCTCCATTATACCAGCTATCACAGAAGAATTGGAGCCTAATCTCAAGGTCAAACTCTATAAAAAGATATAAGCTCATCCTCCAATAGTATCCTCTTGAAAAGTAATTGAAATGGGCAATTCAGAGCCAGTCTTTTGCTTCATGTGGTGTGAGACAGAGTGGCAAAGTTTTGGCCTTTCCTTTATCCATCACAAGCAAGTAGACAAATTCTAATGTAGGAAAATTAAGGGAGCACCTTAATCAAATGCTAACCGATAGACGCTGGCCAGAACATACCAAGGTGCCTTGGGAGATGTGCATGGGCCCTGACCCTTCCTAGTCTGTCACAAGGACAAGGTGATAAAATCTCTACCAGGGCCATGTGTAAAAATCATAGAAAAAGGAAATGATGCTGAAATGGGCTCATAAAGGATGAATACTGATAAGAGGGGAGTTGGGAGTGGTTGGGGGTTATCTGGAGGAAAAGTGAAGAGAAGAAAAAAACGAAGAGAAATGAAAAAATGGCATATAATTATAATAAGACATACCACACCAATAAAAATTTATTTGTCCCATATTTTATAAAATGAAGTAAGATTCATGAGTAGTCTGAGGTGTGGCAAAATCAGATTTGTATATTATAAAGATTTTTCATGTAAGTGTAAATCTGGAAAGGGAAAACATTTGAAAATTATAATAGCCCAATAATATGTGACTTACATTATCCATAATGGTGATTAAATTACATTATATTTGTCAATTTATAATGCTCTATTGTTGAAAACAAATTATTTTAGTCTATTTATGTACCTGTTCATATAAAACAAATATGTATTGAAATGCTTTATGAAAATTATCTTTACCATTGTGTTATCTTATTTATAATTTAGGAGATAACATTATATAAGATGATTAAAAATATAAGTAGACAACAATAAGATTAATTTCTAGTTAAGAGTCATCTTTTTGGACCGGGGATTTAGCTCAGTGCTTCCGGCTCCAGCCTCACAAGCTCAAGGTCCCGAGTTCAATCCCCGGTACAAAGAAAACAGTCATTTTTTTTCTTTTTTCATCATTTTTCCTAGTGATTTTTGTTCCTGGAACATTATTCTATTAACCTTCTTACTTAACTTTGTCTTCTTAAATTATATGAACACCGATCTCCATAATAATTTTAGTAATGAAAATTGAAAGATGAACCTTAGCACTCATAATTTGATACAATATAGTTGCTCTATTCTTTAGGTAATAATATGTTTTCAAACAACTTAAACAATTTTGAAATTACAAAAGAAAAGGAAAATATCCAAAGCTGGCTGCATCCAACTGATTCGGCAGTTTCAGAGAAATTGTAATGCTCTTAGAATGGAATTTTGATGCATCGTAATGGTCTCCTGTTGCTACCTAATGATAATTATATAAGACATTAATTTCACTAAATGACTCATTCCCCACTTGTAAAACTTAATTTTAATTGTCACTAAAAACTATTAAGACACACTTAAAACCAAGTTACGTATGCTTAGTTACTCTACTGAATTTGAGTTATTGGTCTGTGTTTGTGTTCTAATGATATTTTAATGTGAATAATCCGATATATTCAAAAGCCAAAGGAACTTTTTATTTACTTTTTTTAAGTAGCCTTGAAGTAATAAACAATACTAACTGGGAAATAATTTTGAAGCAAGATAAGTATATAGATTATATACAACCAAAAGGTTTTATCCATCTTGGTAAAAAGTAAACTGCCAATTCCAATTATTTAATAAAGATCTTATAATTCAGAAAATATATTATGACTCATTTAGAATTGAAAATTTCATCAATATTTTCAAAGACCTTGAAGTAGCAGAATAGTAAGGAATAAAAGTTGTGCACAGAATAAAACCTAATGAACACAGAATGAATATCCTCCATGTCAAGTGCCAAAAGGTGTTATAAATTACTGACTGAAAGTTCTAGGAGACATTATAATGGACACAAGTGTCCAGGTAAGGTACATGGGAAAAGCAGAACAACTTCAGTTCTTTTTAACCTGCTTAGTAAAACTCTTGGTTTGGAAAAAAAGAAATAAAGATACTCGGCAAAAAGAGGTAATGCACAATGTATGTCAGACAAAGATACAGTTTGAGGACACTAATTCAGTTGTCTGACAGTAATGGAAGATTTACTTGAAATTGTTCTGAAAAGTTGATGACAACTTGTTGAATTCGGGGAGGCTTATGTGATAGCAACTGAGGTAAAAAGTTTGTCAGTGTAGTATTTTGTTTGGAATCTTTCACAATATTTCATGGGAGAATCAAAAGGATTCAGATTCTTATCCTGACTGAGCCACAACCATGCCACTAATTTATCTTCAGCATAGGTCCCAGAAGAAACAAGAAACCTCATACTGGCTATGATTGTGGTGATACCAGAAGATGACCCAAAATGGTTTTGTGCAATCATACACTGATTAAATCTGCAGCCACGGTCTTAGGTCCTTTCTGGTTCTGTTTAAAGGACTAGAATTTTGTTAGTCTGTGAAATATACAACAGCAGTGCATTATATAACCTCTGTAAACTGCCACTGAACCTGGAGAAAGACTGATTCTAAGACACTTAAGAAATCTTGCCCAGATTTCCACTCACTTTTATTTGAACTGCTTTATGCAGAGTCCTAGACTCACCAAACTGGAAACCCAGACTTCTCACCTTACCTGTCAGCCCTTATTAATGCTTATTTTTATTTATGTATCATAGTGAAAGCACCACTCCCTTGTCTCTGGGTTCATCTCCCACTAGATCATATAATTTTGTGATTCCACATCTAACATCACAACAATATACAGAACTTTATGAACAGTGAAGGCCTGGGGTGTGAATTTATTTTGAGTTGAAATCTGACTTATCAAAATGATAAATATGATCTCAAATAAGAAATGTAGCCTCGGTTGGCCTGGGCTCCATTATCAGCAAGACAGGGAAAAGAGAATTTTGTGTAATGACTGAAAGGATTTCATACGTGTAATATATGCACTTATTGAGCATAAAGGAAAGTGTTTGTCTCTTTACTTCCACACCCTCTGCCACTCTAGTTGCTTCAGGGATTCTCTGTGTGTGTATGTGGGGTGAGTAGAGGCTAGGAGAACAAAGTGGAGGGAAGAAGCCTTTGAGCTCATACCAGCATCTTTCTGAGGATTTTTATTAAGGGATCCTGTTCTCCAGATTTAGGACTAATTTTTCATCTTCGTTTTTCAGAGTAATGTCAGGCATAGAAACAAATCAAACAGAAGAGGCATACCTGGGAACAATATTGTGTGTTAAGGTTAAATAAGGTTCTTGCAGAGTAAGGCACTTCCCAACAAACTTCCACTTCATGTCTCATAGGAATTCGGAATTAATTGATGCCTTTTTACCCCAGGTAACAAAAATAGAACCTTGAATCAAAATATTCTCCCAGTTCTATAACAAAAGAGGCTAAAATTATTTAACCTGAAACACGAATATTTTCTGTATGCATCCTAAATCTTAGTTGGGATACAGTAGCAGTGGTTCAGATCTAAACCCCTAAGTACTTTTAAAATCATTAGTAAACTGCAGTGTTAGAAAGGTAGTGAGGGTGTCATTTTAAAAAAAGAAATTGATGTCCTCTTTAACTATACAATTTAATATGAAACAAAATATATCTGAAACTCAGTGATCTTTCTCTGATTAATGTAGTTGTTGTCTCCCTGTGTGGGGTTCTGAAATGAAATGGAGATGAGGAGTTTTATAGCGTTTTCTTTATTTTTTGTAGCTCAATATGATATATTTAACAGTGCTAAAAATCATAATACTTCTTTATTAAGTAACCCATAAGCGAGGAATTTTATGGGTTCACTTGTTAAGTCAATACAATGCAAATAATGAAACTCAGTTGAGGAAAAATAATCTCACAATTTGAAAAAAATCAGTAATATCTATTTTACTGTTACTACCTAAAATATTTATAATGGAGGTTTCTCCCTTTTTGTGGGTTTTTTAACTTGATCTTTCAGATATTCAATTAGTAGTTTATAAGTATATTCTATGTGTTATGGATATATTTTTATAATATTTATTTAGATCTTACCTTTCCATCAGTTTTAGTCCTAATACCAGCTATTAGAATAAACACGTGTGTATATTTGTGCATATGTTATATATAAATATTTATAGTTGAACAATCCCAGATACACAGTGAATGTTATCCACCCTAAGAACCAAGATCACCTCTTTATTGCTAAATGTCATCATCATTTTCACTGTTCTATTTGAAGTGGATCTGTCTCCTTCAATTCTACTGCCTGTTTGCTTTTGTTTTTCATGTTAACTATATGTTATTCTTTGTCTTCCTTATTTGTTTTCTCCATAAATTTTGGATTTTAAAAATATTTTTAAAATTATTCTTCTGATTGTGCATTCCTTTTGGAAAATCTCACATTAAAGCTCACAGTTTTAATTATCTTGAGACACTGAAACTCCCCACAGTTGTATCTTTAGCCTCTTTTCCTTTAAGCTGTAACCTGAAATAGACATTTATCTGTAAAATAGACCTGCTTGAATGTCCTACGGGCAACTCAATTTCAACAAGATTGAGCTCGTATTTTCACTTTCCCCAGAAAATATTCTTCCTCCTCAATTCTGCACCTGAATTAATGAACCATCCCCGATCCTCTTCAGCCAAGGCAGATACAGAAGTGTCATCTAAGTTTTCACCTTCTCCCCTACTCTCAGGGTACAATCACCAATAATGATAAGGTTACATGTGGCAAACTGTTCTCACGTCTTCTCCTTCTCTCTCTTAACAGCCCTAGAGAGGCTCTCATTAATTTCCTCTTGACCTATTATTAAAACTCATAGATGGTTATCATGATGCAAGTCTTGATACATAGTCATTTTCCTCAATGTAAAGATCACTGTAAAAATACTGTTCAACAACAAAAGAGAGTCCTGTTCTTCATGCAGCAAACAAGATTCTGCTCCCACCTCCCTTCTCTTACAATTGCTTTGACAACTTTATATCCAACTGTCTGAAACCTGATTGCAATTACTAATACTGATTCTCAGAAATCTCCATGTTTCTTTGCTTCTGCACATGCCCCAGACTTGATTTCCTTTTTCCTTATTTTTATTTAGATAAAAATAAAATCCTTGAAACTTTTGGTCCTACATATTCTCTTCCTGAAAACCCTTATTGAATGTTTCTTTATCTTAATTATCTCTTACTTATAATAACATACTGGTCACACTTTTTTATGGTACTTGCTAAAGTATATTGATGTTATCATTTTAGCCAGATTTCTTGAAAGCAGTGGGTTTGCTGTATTCAGCTTAGAAATCTTACTACTTATCCTAGTGTCTGTCTCTTCTGAGGATTCTAAATTGAATTATCTTTAGTGGATTGAAGATATTGAAGTGCAGAGTTATACACTGAAGATTTATAAACTTTGACGAAAGAGAAGAGATATATATCAACACTATATATATATATATATATATATATATTTGACCTCCCCCACAAACACACCTACACATAACTTCTCTTCTTAGAGAAATAGTTTTCAAATAAATATTTTAGCATGTAGGATAGTATACAGAAAATTAATTTAAAAAGTAGTATAAATCCAAAGAAAAAATGAAATTTGGAGTTGACAGTCATCAAAATAATATTTTTTGCTTGTCCAACAATGGGACAGGGTGAAAATAATGAAGGATTTTCTCAGATGTAAAAGTTATATAGAAGAAAAGTATAACAAACATGTTACCACCTTGTTTCATCATGTATTTGAAATTTTGTTTTCCAATTCAAAATATATACTCTCTTTAAATTATTGAGTATTTTTGGAATAAGAAATACTATTTTTGTCTCACATACCCCTGTTCCATTCAACTAGTTATACTTTTTAATACAACATCACATATTTACGACAATTCACTTCATAAAAATTGCACTTCTGTTTTACAGAATGGTGAGAATTCAAGACCTGTTTACTTTAGTTGGGTTCCATATGACTAAAACTGTCATAGCTCACTAAATTACTTACATTGCCTTTTCTGCCTTAGTGAAGAATAAGCTTCCCAACTATCTTATGGTTTTATAGAAAAATTCAAACTATTTCTGAAACCTCTTATTATTAAGACAAATTCCTGTCTTTCAAATTTCAAGAAAAATGCATTATGCAGAAAATGATTTAACATAAATGCATAATTTTTAAATTATCATAAAGTAAACATAAATGTAAGCCTGGGTTTATCATACATGACTAGGAAGACTTCCTATGTGCTTTTTCTCATATACAATCACTTTCTTCTACCTATAGTTAATTCTGTTTCTTACTTACTACCCAAGTAAAAAATCTATAAATGATATAATTTGTTCATTTTCTGAAATATATATATATATAGTTAAAACTTTACAGGGCTGGGGATTTAGCTCAGTGGTTTCGTCGCCTGCTGCGCAAGCACAAGGACCCAAGTTTGATCCCCAGTACCCCCCCCCACAAAATTGTACAGTGTATGTGGTTTGGTATCTGCCTTTTGAATTCATCTTTTAACTTTTCACTATTTAGCTTCATTTCTGTATATTTGCTCATTATGTTGTTTTATGTGAATATGCCACAATTCATTTTTATACTCTGCTATTGATGAGTATTTGAGTTGTCTCCAGTTTAATTTCTTCCATGTTACTATAAATATTTTATAGTGTTTCCCCTTATGCACATGTACTTTAGTTTATATATGTTATGAATATTTTATTGGTAATGGCAAATTGTTTTCCATAATAAATGTGCTATGAATTTTATATGTGAACCTGTGATGATTTCCATCCTCATTCCTGGTGTATCAAACTTTCTACCAATCAAGTATAGCTTTAATCTTATTTCATTACAGTCTTCATTAGCAGTTCCTTGATATTAAGCTTCTTATCACATACTTAATTACTGTTTTGAATTTTCTATTTTGCAAAATATCTAATGAAGTGTCTTACCGTTTACCTATCAGTTTGCCATTGATTTATCTCCTTTAATGTTCTTTCTGATCTCTTTAATGTTCTTTCTCATCTCTAGGCATTGTTTGTATATGCTAGATATGACTCACTGTTGTTATTGTACTTCAGACAAATTCTGTCACTCGGGAGCTTGGGTTTCACTTCCTCAAAGGTGCCTTTTCACACACAGAGGATTTAGTGTTAAAGTTGCCAAATTTACAGATCTTTTTTGTTGTTGTTGTTCCGGGGATCCAGGGGATCCAACTTGGGACCTTGGGCTTGGGAGGTGGGCGGAGGAACCACTAAGATAAATCCCTGGCTATGTATCATTTTAATTGTCCTGATTCTTTGATCTTGTTTATGATGTATCTTGCTATATCCTTAAGTCATGAAAATATTCTCCTATATTATTTTTTAAAGTTTTGTTATTTATTATTTGTATTAGACCTATCATCTGAAATTTATTTTTGTGTATGTGGTGAGGTAGGAGTACATTTTAATTGTCTTCTATATTAAAACATATTTATTTAACAGGCAGTCTTTTCACTGCTACTTTGCATGACTTTATCATAAATCCCATATACATGTGAATAGTTTAGTTTACGTGTTTTCTGTTCTGTTTTATTGGTTTATTATTCTACTCTTCCATCAATAGAATACTTTTTTAATTATGTTATTTGATAGTAAGTGCTGATATGTGGTAGAGCAAGCTCTCTCACCTTTTTCTTCAAATAAGTTGTAGCAACTATCACTCCTTTCCTCTTTCTTTACTTCCAGTGGTCCCTTTTTGCACCTGTGATTTATAAGCACAAAAAGACAAAAGTGTTCGTTGATCAACCATAAATACTGATTAAAGTGAGACCCTCACTAAGTCTCCTTAACGAAAACATCCACCTGTCTGTAGAAAACATATTTGCAGTGTCCAGATTTGCAGAGCAGGAAGCATGCATTATCCAAGCAGACTGTGAGAGTGAAGAAAGAAAAGGCACTTTTTTTGGATGGTCTATTGCCATTTTATCTGTTTTTCTATCAAAAAAAAAAAAGCACTCTCTAATGGTCATTACTTCCCTAGTTGTCTTTCACTCTTTCATTGAAACTGCCTATTTAGTGCCTTTGTATATTGATATTGGTCAAACCAATGCAGAGGGAAAATATATACTAATCATAGTAATGATCACAGTAAAGATGTGCTTTCAATTCACTTCCTTTGATGTTTTTCCACTATACAAAACAAGCAGTACCATTTTTTTCTCCATTAAGTTTATTGGTACATTTTAGGTATACAATACAGTTATATTCATCATTGGGATCTTGTACCTTTACATAATGTATCTTGGTTCTTATTTTTTCCCCATTCCCCTGCCCTCCCTTCACCCCCTCCACCCTTCCCTATTTACAAAGACTTTGTTTCCATTTTTTTCCCTTTCCCATATTTTTTCTTTTCCCTTCTTTCCTTTCCCCTACCCCTCCCACTTCCCCTACCCCTTTATACCTTTTCTTCCTATTTCACAATATCAATTATACATTTTGATCCTTATTTACACTTTTAGTTTTTCATGCCAGAGAAACTATTTGATATTTACACATGTGTGTCCTATTTATTTCACTTAAGAGTATGGCCTCAAGGTTCATACACTTAGCTATAAATGTCTCTAGTTTCTCATCCTTTATGGCTGAGTAGTATTCCATTTTATAAAAAAACACATCTTCTTTCTCCAGTCTCTAGTTGATGGGCAGTACCATTCTTGAATTTATGAGCACCTTGGCTGTTTATGTTCTCTCATAGATCCTCCCAAGCACATCAGTCTAGCAGCTGAGTGGCTTCCTTCATTTTTTTCCATACATTTTATCCATTTGCCTCTGATGTTTTGAGTATTTTTACCTGGATTCTAAATCCCCAATCCACTATTCTGTAATTGACATTGACAGTAAGGAGCACAGTTCCATAGCAGTATTCATTATCCTCTATGCTGGCATAGAAATGACAGCCATCACCCAACTTCCTGATGTTGTTGGGATACTGGTTTGTAAACCATTCTGTATTATTTCAAAGAACAGAGTTTAACCTACACTTTCGATGAAAAATAGTTAACTGATGGTTTTCTTGTATAAAACTAATGGTTTTATGCAATGAAACACCAAAATGCTCTTTCTTTGAGACTTCAAACTATTCTTGAAATTTATGTCAATACATTTTCAGTTGCAGAGCACCTTACTAATTATAGATCATTGTTTTTCATGAGCTTTTCATAGACTAACCCAGCTTAACCTTAGATTCAGCTCTAGCTGTCCTTACCACAATCAAGAGAAAGTACCTCTATATCAATAAACTCTCTTTATTAATATTGAATTTAGTTGTTTTGAATTCCTTAAAGCACAATTTAGAATCATTCCACTAATAATAAAGAGAAGAAGAATTTTTTGCTCTATATGGTTTTAAAGTACTTCCATCCACATGTGCTCAGATTAGTTTCTTCTCTGTCAACACTCGGTTGGCATGGGATACAGGCCAGGTTACCAGGACTGTGAGTACCTCTTTCTTTGTAATTATTCCCTATGATCCTTTAACCAATATTTTCATGTATTTTTGATCTTCTTTACCCTTAAGCTAACTAAAGACACTAAATTTAATTTACTTTTATATTTATTTTCAACAATGCACATTTTACTGTGATCCTTTAAGAGAAAAACTCTTTTACATTTTGTCCCTGCAACTACTGAAGTAGTTAAAGAGTCTTTTCAGAGTCCATTTATAAAGTAATTAATGTATACATAATTATGTGTTCTAATATATAATGTTACACTCTACACACACACACACACACACACACACACACACACACATATATAATCTTTTTAGAGAACAATTTTGTTTTGAGAAAGGGGCTCATTATGTTGTTCATCTAAATTATTATTTTCCCGGTTACATGAAATTGCTCTGCAATAGCATCATTTTTTTTTTCATGAATCATAAAATGTTGCCATGATAAAGTTCATATTCACCAAGGAACATCTAATTTAGCTTATATAGTTTATCTCTAACAGTCTTTACTATTTGGTATTTCAGAAAAAAAAAATATCATTATTGTTTTGTATAAGGAAATTCTGATGAGCACATTTTAAAAATTATCATGAGAATATCTCAGAAAAAATTTTAAATGTCAAATTATGAGTCAACTTTAACAAATGACCAAATCATCTTTTAGACCCAAATGATGAGAATGAAAATCAACTCAGAGGGGGCTAGGTAAGGGAAAATATAGCTCTGAATATTGCTGACATAAAGTTTAATACAGCTTACTGTCACTAAGCTGATTAGATTGTTCCACAATCATTTAAATTTTATAGGAAGTTGAAAATAGCCAACTATTCAACCCCAAGTTATTAAGGAAGAATAGCTATATTGTGAAGCCAAATATGCTTCAAATTCATATAATGTTGGAGCTGAATTTAGCCATTCTCTGGAAGCCCAGGACTTGCTGTGATTGTTTACCACCTGGCTATTTCTTTTACAGCTACAACTGTGCTTTAGGGTATTATATATTTCTCTTTGACTTCTTTTTTCATTTAGTTATTATCAATAGGAAAAAAATAAAAGGAAAGCAGTAGAATTATGGGATAACAAAAAAGATATTTGGAGACTGTACACCTAAAAATTAAACATTGAACAATAAAATGACACTACTACAAAATTGATTATTTGTGAATTGCTTTACTTTGGTTCATTTAGCTAAGGGGTGAAAAGTTTAATGCTGATAAGCAGAATAAGAGCACTGCAGAAATGAAGACTTTGGAGGATGGGGGTAGGAGAAGAAAGAAAAAAATACAAATAATATAAGAGCAGGGAAGATTAAAAAGAACAGATTCATCTCTGTCCTTTTAATTCAAAAATATCTAAACCTAAAACTGAGATTGTTTTCTCTCTTCCATAAGACTTAGAGATTATTTCCTCTCTGAAATTCTGTATTATTCAACTTTATCTTCTTCTATTTATTAGGACATATTTTAGACAGAAGTATTTGTTTAGAAAACTTTAGACTTAATTTTATGGTCTCATTGAAAATTGCAATTGTATAAGTCCTGAAAAGTAAAAAAAAAAAAAAAAATAGTGCATCAAAATAACATTATTCATAGGAATAACTCAACAAAACCTCTTTGTTTACATAAATTTAGTTGACTTTTTCAAGTGGCTTTGGTTTTATAATTTTCTCTTTGATTCGCTGCAGTTAGAAAATACAGTTTCCAGGAACTCAATGTATATTAACAGTTGTGTAAACTCTTCCACGGACAATGTAGATCATGTGGTACTTTGAATTTTTATTCTAAAAACATGCCGTAAATAAAAATATTTCAGAGGCATGTCATCTTTTCATTCACAATTTAATTTTGTTCTGAGTTTCATTTATTGTCAGCTTTTGAGATATGAACCGATGTGTATAGGAGAATATCTGGGACCCTGTTATAATATGTTGAAAATAAATGACAATGAATAAATGTGAGCTAAATTATTTTTGAAGGTACTATTTAGATCCATTTATATCTGTGGACATTAAATCAAGGTTAAAAATCTAGGAAGCTATGTATCATAAAAAAACTGATAACTGGAATTATTAACTATCTTATCTTAGGTGCTACCTGCATCCTGTTCCATGTGCTTTCTGCATTTTAGCCCATTCAGTACACATAAAATCTGACACTGTTGGTTGTAATTTCATCCCTATAATAATAGGATCTAAAATATGAAGTACTTTACCAAAACTGGCAAGTGGCAAAATGAGTTGCATGAAACTGTTAAATTCTGAATCACTTGGATTTTTCCTTAACCAAAGGGAACTTAAAGTTATGAATAAGACAGACCACTGTCTTTAGTGTTGAAGAGACTGAGTTCAAATTCTACTTACAATACTTAGCAAGTCTATGACTTTACACAAAGTTTCTAATCTACATTAAACTTAGGATCCTCATCTAAGGAATGGAGATAGTAGATCTGATTCCCTAAGAATTAGAGTTTCATACAACTTAGAAAAAATTAAGAAACCCTAAAGCATAATAAGAACTTTGGTAGCCAAAATGACACTAATAGTAGTCCTGGTAGTAATAATTATTTCTACATGCAAATTTTGAGATACAGAGTATTAAGATTAATTTTAACCTTGATTTGCCCATTTGAGGCATGTGTTATTTTGCTAAGATTAATATTCTCCATATATTTCAAACTCATCTCCTTTATACTCTCATACAAAGGTCTGACAATCACTGATTACTGATTGTCATCAGTCTCTTCCAGTTTGGCATGTAACTCAGGGATCATTATTAAGTTATTTGAATCTAAATCCTTCTACTATCACCTAGGAAACACATTTTCTATGTTAACTACTAAAATGTAGTGAAAAATTATCTCAAAATTTTACTCAAATTAAGATAGACAGATTGATATAGAGAAATAGATATGTCAGTTTCCAGAATTAGAACTATGACACCTTAAACAAAAAATTATCATGACGGCTTGTTCTTAGCACATGTAATTTAGAAATCACAAAATTCCAAACCTCCAAACTTGACCATACTAAAGCTGTAGTTTAAGAATGAAGGATGTGCACTGAATAATCATTTCTTTTTGGCCTCACAATATTAGATTAAATACTTGTGTTTATAAGTTCTCATACTTTAGTGTACTTTTTCCCATAATATTCATTAAAATTAAAAATTATTTATGTGTTTGTGCTTTTTCTTTTTAATATTTATCTTCCCCATTAGAATGTAATTTTCATAAGGGAAATTTAAAAGCCCTGC